TTGGCCACCAGAACCAGGGGTGAAAAAATTGGTAAAAGGTTGGTTCTGAGGTGTGGCTCTGGGGTTGTATCAGGGTATGTTCTGGGTCTTGTATCATACCATTTGTCGCCCCTTATTCACTCTCTTATCTCGTCCCCTGCTTCATTCCTATCATTATCTTCACCTAATTCATTATCATTGTTTTGTCCCTCTCATTCGTTCTATCATTTACGTCATCATCAACATCGTCGCCTCATCCGTTTCTCACCACCATTTTTATTTAAGTAGTTTTCCATCCTATTTTTTCATTATCATAAATCTCCCCCTCAATCGTTTTCATAAACCATAATATCACCTACTCTGTTTTCTGGGACTTATCCACCTAACACGCTTTTACCAAAGATTTATAATAATATTCAGGTTTTAGTCTTCTTCGTTTTGTGTATATAGGTTGTTGGTTAGTTTTCTTTTTAAGGCTTTATCGCAAGACTTGAAGCTTTCCGCTTCTTTGACATTGACGGCGACGACAACAATGAGAATGTGAGCCTGACTTGTTTGAAGGGCTTTGATTTGTTGCTTTGATTTGCCAGACTTGACTTGAGCACCATTGAGCGCTTGAAGCCTTGCTTTGCGTTCGCCGAAGCAATTTTGTAGTGTGTCTTTGGTAGTTCGCCTTACGTCCTTACTTCAGTTGATAGAATGGCACCTCGTAGCGTCATCAATCCCTTCCTCAAGAAGGAGCAGATGTTGAAGCAGATGGTGGCGAAGTCAAAAAAGGATTTACAACAGCGTCATCTTGTTGAAGTTGAAGGTTCAGACGCGCTTGTATGTCCTGAAACTCTCCGTGCCTTTGCCGACCCCATCAAGATCAAGATGACCGACATTCAAAATCAACTTGCTATTGTGCTATAATGTAGGTGCATATATAAATCCCCCGAACCTTCTACTTGCAAAGTCCTGCACCTTCGCACCTTGTAGTTGCAAACTCCCGCACCTATCAGAAGCAAACTCCCGCACCTACCAGAAGCAAACTCCCGCACCTACCAGAAGCAAACTCCCGCACCTACCAGAAGCAAAGTCCTGCACCTCCGCACCTTCTACGCATTCATTTAAAGATGTGACGGAGTGCTCGGGAAAATCCTGAGTTTTTGCTTCTACAGTTTGCTCTGTCTTGAAATATGATTTACTCGTAACAAAGAGCTTCACCAAAGCCCTCCAGAAACAGACATGAACCGCACCTTTCTATGTGCAATTGTTGAGCTCGGATTTCAGCAGAAGCAAAGCGTAACGAGTTGAATGTTTGAGCTCTGGGGCTCATTTCCAGCAGTCAGATACATAGGCCTTTGTACTCGCACCTGTTGCTATGGCTTCCTCTTCGGGTGCTTCTTCTGGCTATGTCTCAAAGACGGAGGAGATGGAGCGGGCTTTGGAGAAGGCAAAGGACGTTGCCCCACAGCTTACGACAGACAAGTTCAATGAAATCAAAGCGTGCTTTGAGACAGGCACGGACACGAAAGAGATGAAGGAGGGCATCGTCTTATTTGAAAGCATGCTGTTGGTGATGAAGCACAAGCTTGATAGCACGAGTGGTTCCGACAAGAGTGGCTCCGAAAAGAAGCACAAGCTTGATAGCATGAGTGACTCCGAGGAGGGTGGCTCCGAAAAGAAGCGCAAGCTTGAACGCATGTGGGGCCCCGACAAGGTCTTGAGTCGTGAAGAACAGCTACTTGCTCAACTGGCGCCATTCAGAGCGTGGATGTGACAAAGCTGTAGGGCTTTTATTTGCTCGCTGAGACTTGAGTTCGGCGGTTCTCATCACCTGCGGAAAAATGAGCACTTACTCAACTGGAAAAACACAACTAAGCAATAAGGTCAGTCCCTCAGGTGATTGGAGGAAACCCGACTGAGACGACTGCAGTGACAAGGAAACAGTGGCTGTTGCTTCTTCCCAAAATTCTAAACACAAAATCCCAAGACATACCTAAAGAATATTTGAGCCCAAAAGAATACCTAGCCCAAAATCCCAAAAAGGACTTAAAGCCTAAATCCTAAACCCCTAAACCCCATACATAAAAAAAATCAAAGCATATAGTATTTGAAAAAATATGGGACACTACAAATATATAGGGAAATCCTATACGAAATACACCATAAAATCCGAAAAATAATAATATGTTAGACCATAAACAAATAAAATCAATAATCCCCAACACACCCTATGGACTTTTTTAGTAAATAAAGAAAAGCTTTACTAAAAACACGACAGGTGGAGCAGAACACGAACGACATTCTCGCCGAGAACTACGACGCAACGGTGCTTCCTTCCCCCGCTTGGTTTTTCGGTTTAGGTTTTCAGGGTTGTTGTGGTTTAGTGTTCAGGGTTGTTGTGGCTTGGTTTAGGTTAGTGAAAGATTTTAAAAAAGGAGCGCACCCCATCTTTTTTAATTGTTATTCTTTCGTTTTGTGTTTCCCTCTCGTGTAAAAAAGCGATCCTTTTTTTCACTCATTTTATTTTTTGGGGATGGTTTAGTAATTTGGTTATTTATTGTGCTTCGCACTCCCAGCCTTAGCCAGTGGGGGGCTACAATGGCGGGTGTCAGTGGTTTCCCATCCCAACCCCGATACAACCCGACACACCCGCCACAACCACGCTACAACCACCGAGCCCCAAACCTACTTAAAGGGAAGCCCCCTTATACCTCAATGGCAGAGCAGGACGCCCTCAGAACCGCAATGCGATATGTATTAAATAGCAAAACAGGTGAAATAAAAAAGTCTAAAACAGGAAAAGAATTAAAACAAATTGTAATAGATGGAATAACATTTAAATATGACAAAGAAAAACCAATAACAGGACGATTAAAGAAACAATTAAATAATATAATAAAAAGACCGTCATTTAAACGATTTGAAATATTAGATAAAGCAGTTAAAGGTGTTAGAGTAAGAAAAGCATTATCAAGATATGCTATTTCAACAATCGGAAAAAGAACTGATAATTTTACTGCTTTAAAAGGTTATGCTAATACCTATTCCATAACCAACATTGAAAAAGAAGGCTTCAAAGGTTTAGGGCACATATATTATCAAAAATCCAGATTAAAAGAGTTTTTAAACAAAAATAAAAGTATGAAACTGCTGATTGATGTTGAATTTGTTTTAAAAAGTGTTGAAGAAGAGGAAGAAATATTAACAACAATCAGAAGCAGAAGATATAACATATTAAATGAAGAGGATTTAAACAAAGCAGTTAATAACGCCGGAAATGATATTCAAATTATTTTAGAAAATAAACAACTAAAAAAGTCAGGATTAAGCATAAAGAAAGTTAATAAAATAACAATTCATTATGACAAATATGACAATATATTGAATTACCAAGGTGGATTGCTTTAAAAAAGGCGTGTATTAATATTAAAGATTATGATAATTTATGTTTTAAATATTGTGTATGGTGTAAGTTTCACGACATATATAAAAAAGACCATCCCGAACGATTATATCATTATAACAAATATTTTGAAAATGATAATTTTATTAAATGGGACGGTGTAGAGTTCCCAGCTTGTAATGATGACATAGATAATTTTGAAAAAATTAATGATAATACCATATCGGTTAATGTTTATATCATTGATAAAGATGTAGATAAGATAAGAGTGGATAGAATAACAAAAATAGCGAACCCAGTATGTCATATAAATCTATTACGACTTGATGATGAGCATAATAACCATTATGTTTTAATTAAAGATTATTCAAGACTTTTAGGAGGTCAAACAAACAGTAAAACAAATAAACAGTTTTATTGTCAATATTGTCAAAAAGGATTTACAAAAGAAAACTTATTACAAGCACATCTATTAAAAGGTTGTATGGCAAATGAGGTTCAAGCTATAGAGATGCCAGAAGAAAAAGAAAAAATGAGCTTCCAAAAGCATTACAAAAAGTTAAAGTGTCCTGATGTTATTTATGGTGATTTTGAATGTTTAACCGCCTTATCTAATGAAGGATTAAAAGGCACTTACGGCGAAGCCCTGAGTGTCCCGAAGGGCACTTACCAAAATCATAAACCATCAGGTTTTATGTTAAATGTTGTTAATTCTATTTCAGGTGAAGCTAAACCATATCTATACAGAGGTGAAGATTGTATGGATGTATTTTGTAAAACTATGAACGAGATAAGAGAAGAAATATTTGATGTAATGAATAATCCAAAAGATATGGAGAAATTAACACACGAAGAGGAAGGAAGACATTTAACAGCTAAGCGTTGTTTTATTTGTAATGGTAGATTTGACCCAAATGTTAAAGCGAAAACGAAAGTTAAAGACCACTGCCATTTTACAGGTAAATACAGAGGCGCGGCACATCACAAATGTAATTTAGATTATTGTTTCAAACACTTTAAAATACCGATATTTTTTCATAATCTTAAAAACTATGACGCGCATTTAGTTATATCTCATCTTGATAAGTTAAACACCAAAAAAGAAAATATCAGCGTAATAGCACAAAACAGCGAAAAGTCTATAATTTTTTGTCTTAAACAGTTAGAGTTTAAAGACAGCTTCAGCTTTTTATCTTCATCATTAGATAAGTTAGTTAAATTAACTAAATATGAGAATAATGAGAAGCGCGATAATTGGACACAACATTTTAAATATAGTAAAGTAAGTAATTATATTAAAGACGATTATGATTTAGATTTACTGACAGATAAGGGTGTTTATCCGTATGATTATATGAATGACTTTAACAAATTCAATGAAACAACACTACCCGATAAAAAGGAGTTTTATAGTAGATTAGGTGAAGAAGATATAGACGATAAAGACTATGAAAGAGCTAAACACATTTGGGAACACTTTAACATTTAAAACCTCGGCGAGTATCACGACTTGTATTTGAAAACGGATGTTTTATTATTAACTGATGTATTTGAAAACTTTAGAAATCAATGTTTAATAGATTATGAATTAGACCCAGCACATTATTATACATTACCTAATTTTAGTTGGGACGCTATGTTATTAAAAACAGGAATACAATTAGATTTAATATACAATGAAGACCTTTATAAAATGGTTGAGCGCGGACTTCGCGGTGGAATGTGTCAGGTAAGCCATAGACTGGCAGAAGCAAATAATAAATATATGGGAGATGAGTATGATAATAATAAACCATCATCATATATAAACTATCTTGATGCTAATAATTTATATGGCTTAGCGATGTGTCAAAAACTACCATACAAAGATATTAAATTCATTGAAGGGAACTTTACAGAAGAACACATAGAAACTTGGAGCGATTTAGGTTATGGTTATATTTTAGATGTTGATTTAGAGTATCCAAAAGAATTACACGATAAACATATTGACTATCCACTCGCCCCTGAAATTATGAATATTACAGCTGATATGTTAAGCGATACACAAAAAGAGATTTACAAAGCCTATCATTTTAATGAGCCGCCTAAAGATGAAAAAGCAAACAAATTAATATTAAATGTTAATCATAAAGAAAATTATGTATTACACATTAAAATATTAAGATATTATCTTAAACAAGGACTGAAAATAAAGAAGATTAACAGAGTAGTTCAGTTTAGACAAAAAGAATGGTTAAAACCTTGGATTGATTTTAACACTGAAAAAAGAAAGAAAGCCAATAGCGACTTTGAAAAGGATATGTATAAATTAATGAATAACGCGGTGTATGGTAAAACGATGGAGAATGTAAGAGAACACATTAACTTTGAATTAGTTGATACGCCCGAGCGCTTCCAAAAAGTCGTTAATTCACCTACATATAAACACAGGCACATAATTAATGAAAATCTCGTAGGAGTAGAGAAGTTAAAAGAAACGGTTAAACTCAATAAACCTATATATGTAGGTATGAGTATATTAGACTTATCTAAGTTGCATATGTATAGCTTTTATTATGGTTTGTTGAAGAAGAAGTATAATAACGATGTAAGATTAATATATACAGATACAGATAGTTTTGTTATACACACTAAAACAGAAGACATATACGATGATTTTAAAAATATTAATAAATATATGGATTTTAGCGGATATGATAAAAACCATAAATGCCATGATGATACTAATAAGAAGGTGTTAGGCAAATTCAAGGACGAATGCGACGGAAAGATAATAACAAAGTTCATAGGATTAAAACCTAAATCTTATGCTTTTAAGATACATCAACAAGAAAAGGAGGAAAAGAAAAGCAAAGGAATTGTAAAACGTAAAGTTAAAAACGAACTTAACTTTGACAAATATAAGGATACTCTTGAAAATAACAGTTGCGACAGTGTTAGTTTCAACAGCATTAGAAGCAAAAACCACCAGATATATTCAATAAATCAGGTTAAACAAGCATTAAGTAGTTTTGATAATAAGAGATATTATTTAGATAATATTAACAGCCTACCATTCGGACACTACAGCATTCCTTGAATGCTCTAATGAGCTTCGCGACACTACACTATTTCTCCGAAATAGTGTAATGAGCTTCGCGACACTTCAGAATAAATAACCAGTAAATTAATTTAAACATACTCTCTCTTGACATCATCAAATTTGACACCGTAATAATCCAAAGTTTGTTGTTTAGGTTCTTTTATTTCGCAGTTGTTTAATTTATTCACATAGACATTTCTTTATTTTACAAACATCGCTTCCTTTATCCATTGGTTTACTATATTGTTTAGATTTATTGGTTAATTCTTCAAGCTTTTTATCAATC